AAGCAAGGTTCAAACAACAAAGATGCCAACCAAACATAAAAAATAAGCAACGTTCCCAAAACAAAAGACATAAAAAGCAAATATGAAATTATAGGTTTACCCTTAGCAGTTGTTCAATCGCACAATTAAAATTACTATAGTTCTATTAAAGGCTAAGTTTTCCTAACTAACATGGGTCAATTACCTCTAAAAGCAATCACATACCAAATTTTAAAAAAGAGATTGAATGCAAGAAAATAAAAAAAGAAAGTAAAAAATAAAGATGAAAAAAAACAACTATATAAGGATAGATAAAGTGGGAAAGCAATAAAAAAAAATAAACCCGACCAACAAACACTAAGAGGAAAAGAGGCATAAACTAAGGATACATGTATGCTCAAAAATAGAAGTTGAAAAGACCAACGAAGTAGTTAAAATCCGCTACATAAAAAGGAGGCAAAATAATATAAAATATTAGAACAACCAATTTGGAGTGAACAATAATTGAAAGGAAAAGCAATGCTTTTTTATACCTAAAGCCACAGATTATAATAAATGAAGAAAGCATGCAACATAGCAACCAAAACACACGAAAGAAGAACCAAAGAAAGTAAAAATGCAGCAGTGGTGCATTAATATACGAGGGTCAAACAATACAAATGAATCATACGAAGGCATATGGCAACACATAGAAGAGCTTTTAAAAAGGTAAAATAAAAAAAAATCATAACAACAGAGCAATCGATATACTAGACCCCGTAGTTTCAAACTAGGGAAGGAAGGCACACCATACAAGGGAAAAAACACAAGGCTATAAAAAAAAACCCAATCCACCATAGAGGCATAATTTAGAGGAGGAAAATTAGTTTAGTATACATGATATAATTTTTTTTTCTAATATTTCGAGCAAGCAATGAAGGGATTAAACATATTATACACCAAAAAAAGCAACAACTCTTATCTAGAAACCAATCATGAACAAACATTTCATGCAATAAGTTTAGTAGACATGATATAATTTTTTTTCCCGATATTTCAAGCAAGGGATAAAGGGATTGAACATATTATACACCAAAAAAAAAAAAAATAGCAACTCTTATCTAGAAACCAATCGTAAACAAACATTTCATGCAATAAAATGAAGATAATATAAAAATAAATCTTTCAAGTACCAAAAGCAATACAAAAACGAGTGCCAAAAAATAATGGACAAACAATGCGACTTTAATAGAAGGATAGAATGATAAAATGAAAATTCAAAAGCTATGGGAAAAAAGAAGAAGAAATCTTCTTACTTCGAGCCCATTTTCAAAACTACCGATGTCAATGGGAGTAGACCAACAAGAAAGAACATGTTTATAATAGATGCAAGAAAAAATAAATAAATTCAAGGTAAAACTTCATACGAGCAAATGTTAGGGATAATACAAGCGGACCAAACAAATCAAGTAATGTCTAAAAGGAGATAACTATGTTTCAAAAAGAAATTTTCAAAAACTTCATACGACCAAACAACAAGCATCATAACTAGACAAATCAAGGAAGAAATTTTCAAAAACTAATTACAGGAACAAACAAAAGCATGACATGAAAATAACTAACACAACGAACTTATTGCCAAAGTAACAACACTCTATTGCAACGAAAATGATCAAGAAAAAATACATGAAATAAGGAATGATAAGGTGTAAAAATGCAACTAAAGTGATAAAATACGAGAGAAAGGGAATTGCAAAAAATAAGGCATAATAAATAGTAATCAAGCAACGTTGTCCCGTCAAAAACTAAAGTACATAAATCCTAAAGGAACATAAATTGTTCTAACATGACAAAAAAATCGGATGTGTTGGTCGAAAGGAACTAGTAAAGTAACCAACCTAACGCATACATAGATGAAAAGAAATACAACAACTATGTCATGGAATAATAGAAATACAACAACTCGGTATAAAATGTAAACAATTCACAAAAAGCAACACAATCCGATTAGTAAAAATAAAACAAAATAGCATGACAAAGAAACAAGTGGCATAAAACAATCAAACCCCGCACAACAAAAATAGCAAACCAAGAAAAAACGTGAAAACATCCTAACAAAGATGAGAAACAAATAACATCCAACCAAGTATAAGGAAAGAAAGCACAAAAAAAAATATATATGAAAAAGTTAGATACCAAAGAAAAAGTCAATAAATAATCAACAAACAACCCAATAAGCAGCAAACTAACCAAAAGTGAAAACCTTAAACAATAACAAATATAGTCGAGCACAACAAATGAACAAAGCACACATCAAATAAGAAAATCATGTAAATTAAATGTCTAAAAAAATATCCAATACAAATATTTCAAATATGCATGAATAACAAAACAGAGACACAAACATAGGTGGAGAAAAAACCAAAGCAACCAAAACAACGAGATAACAAGTATATAAAAAGCTTATGGCAAAACAAAGAAAGTAGGAATAAGCAAGAGCAGGACGATGAGTACATACATGAAAAAAACAAGTAGTGTAAAACAACAAGACACCAAGTGAAATAGAAGTGCCGATAGCCAAAAAGTAACAAAGGGAGACCCCGAAACAATAAAAAGACAAAAAATAGAAAGGCATTAATAAGAAATTTAAAATGAGCTAAAGAAAAAAGGAAGAAGGCATGATGCAAAAAGACAAGGCAAACTCGAACAAGAAAAAATGACCAATACAAAAAAGCAAACGAAGCAAACACGCTTTATATATTAAAAAAAAAAAGAGTAAAGAAAAGAGAAACAATATGAGCAAACGAGTTGTCACGAGCATTAGAGAAATACGCCTAGTGTAAAGCAACAATCAAAGTGAAAGTAGCAATAATGAAAAGGTAGTTCTTGTAAACCCCGGCACAGTGGAACCGGATGAAATAGAAAAATCAAAACTCACATCCGAACGGGCAAAAGCATGAGGCAAAAAGCCATGATACAGGGGAAAAAAAAGAAGCAAATAAATAACCAACATAATTAAGAAATCGAACAACCGAAGGCAAGAAACGAGAGAAAAAGGCATCAAATAAAAAGCTCGATAAAAGAGGCTAAGAATAATAGGACACACCTAATGACATAAACATGCTATCTATAAAGAAAGAATAGAAGGCACAACAAAAACAATAGATGCATCAAAATTTAGAGTATTTCTTATGAAATGAATTTTATTAAAAAAGAATTATATTGATTTTTTTTAAAAAAATCTTTTATCAAACATGGTTATTTTATTTCTCTTAATCACTCGGCTTATAACATTCTCATAACAATAAATAATAATATAATAGAATTTTTTTAAAAAGCATATCGAAACAAAAAATTAAAGGGTAAAAATGGAGGCAAAGACTTTTTTTTGAATAAATTATATTGCCTTTTTTTTTAAAACACATTTTAAAATCAAAGGATGATTGGGTTCTAGTCTTTGTTATGGAGATACCAAAATGATGCATCTCACATGAGACAGCGTTGAGCCAAAACTTCTAATTGATAAGTCTATGGTTCTAATGGTGGAACATATGATAACGAACTTTGGAGGAAATGGGAGGATGACTTCATGGAATTTTACCATAATGTAATGTTTTTTCTTCAACTTCATTGCCATAATGCAAGTAAAGATCACTAGAGTCATCAAATACACACACACACACAACACACTAAAATTAAATACCAATGAGACCATATAAAAAAGGAACAACAACAAAGAGAAAACACCGGCAAGTGCACCAAATAAGAAAAAATTAAAACAAATGGAGAAGGTTGGAAAAATCCCAAGAGAAAAGGTGGACTCGATTCGGAGAGAAAAGAGCAAGACGAGAGAGGACCAAGAAAAAAGGTGGACTTGAAGAACCATCTCTCTAAAATTCAAGAATTGTAAATAAAATTTGCTGATCTGTACAATGAAATATGAAGAGATAAGAAAAAACCAAGGGCAAAAGGGTCTAAAGAGGAAAGAGAGCATGACAGAGGATAGCTAAATAGTTGTAACGGAAAGAGCGAATGAAAAAATCAAAGAGTTTGCAAAAATTAAGCGATGTAGAATAAGAGATCTAAATACACAATTTAACCAAGAATAGAAAAAACTTATCTAATTAAAAGTGAACTAAACCAAATGGGAGATGCAACAAAATCAATACAAAAAAAGAGGAACAAAAAAAATCCCTAATAATGGCCTAATGAGAAAGGCAATTGTACAACACCCAATGATGCCTAAAGGCCCCAGGTAAGATCCACCACCTGCAGCTAGAATATGACCGCTCGGGCTAACACAAAACGAAAAGTGCAAATCTAATTCCTAACAAACTAAACAAAGGCGAAAATAATCCAAAAGAGAGGACGAACACAAGAAAACCAAATTATCTAATACTATTAAAAAGAGGGACAGGAACAATGCCGATCAGAATCACTAAGCAACTGAGCTCACAACAAACAATCATGAAGTGGGCGCTAAGTAGCGCCAGTCCTACATGGATGAGAAACAAAAAAAAAAAAAAAAAAGGAAAGGAGAACCAATTTGGAGAAAACGCTGTTAAATGCTTTGATAGCTTTTTTTTAAGAAAAAGGAATTGGCAAGAAGGGGCTCGAAAGAGAGGGAGAAAAACAAAACTTATTCAGGGCAAATCAATAAAACACCAAAAAAGGGGTTAGAGGAACGAAAAAGAAAAATCAAACAATGGAGAACAAAAGTTAAGAAGCTGAGGAAAAACAAAAGACAACAACCCAACATAACAGTTAAAAACATAGCTTTTTTGAGTCATAATAAATATTAATTTATTACTGGATATGTAGTATTGGGTTCCCCGCTTCCCCTAAAAGGCTAAAACTCTTTATCATGCACAACCACCAGAAAGTAAAAGAAACGAACTGAGTGGGTCCATATGTCATGACCAACAGACATGTCATTCCAGCATTTCTCCTCAAAGAAGTTGCCTGGTGGAGGAGTGGACAGGGTTTAACCCAACAAGATACGCTGTTCTTTCTCTTCCAAAAACAATACTAGTTGAAAGGAAATGGGCGAAATTGCAGCAAGGTTCTGTGTTCCATGCCAGCAACAGGTGCTCGTTGGACATTTTAGTAGAAGGAAATGGAAAGAGAAGTTGAATAGGCACGAGTGGCAATGCAATGCACTGACTGAGCCAAAATCAAAGCAGCCTTTGGTCAAGAATCAGATTGCAATGAATTCTGCCACCTACTCTTCAAGAATGACTACTGATATCCCTCTCTATGAGTCTCCTGGGGTACCCAATTCTCCTATTTCTGTCTCTTTAATTTCTATCTGTGTGTTGTTCTCTCATACCTGGTCTTATTTCTTTGCAGGCATCCTTTGATAGGTATTTGGAGCATAAGCCTAGAGTTTTCGACGCAATATTTCCTGACAAAAGAAGGAGCCAACAACTTAATGAGGTTCTTCTTATCTTTCATGTGGTGAATTCACTGTTTTGAAAAATCGAGATTGGCATTAGGTCATAAACTAGCACAAATACATGTTAATTACTTGAATGATTTAGAATCTGCCTCTTCATTAACTCACAATTGTTAAGAGCCATTTGTTTACTTGGCATATAAGCATCTTATGCTTAATCGGAACTCTATGCTTTAATGACCTCCTGGTCGTACTCAAGAATTAAATGATCCCTGTCATCTTTGCTGCTGTTTTCCATCAATTCTTTTCCTGTCATTGTCAAGTTACCAGTCAGTCACATGGTGTGCAGAGTTGTTTTTCGCATTCCATAGACTGATCTCTATTTATATAAGTTGTCTATTTTGATTTTTGATATTTGTGTCGAATCCCAACTTTCCTCTCCATAAGCTTTACACGATTGTCCTTTATTGAGGGTCCATTTTTTTAATGAAGTTAAAATGGAGAATGAGAGAATTTCTGCTGCTATTCTTCCTGGGGACGATCGAATCTAGTGATCAATGGTGCTATTTCGCTAAGGAACTTCTATGGAAGCAAACTGATGCCAATTGTTTGTTGGTACTCTCCTGGAAACTGCCACACACCATGGAGTTAGCAATGTTTTGGCAATGAGTATAGTGGCAGAACTAACTTGATGAATTCTAAAAGTAGTTTCTGTTTGGACTTTGGAGTCATCAAAATAGGCAGAAGTACACATGGAAAAGAAGCTGACGAGGAGAGAGTGCTAGTATAAACAACAAAGGTTTTGTTCAAATGGGCTGTTTTAGCTACAAACACAAAGTTCCTACCAGCTAGAAATGAAGAAAACAGGCAGGAAAGCACAAACACCATTGACAAAATAGTTTAGCTAGAAACTGCTGGACACACCAAAGAAGTTGCTGAAAAACCTGTAAGCAAATCACTAGGCTGAGGCTCATCAAAAGAAATCGAAGACGGGGGAATGAGTGAGATCTGTCTCCTGTGCAATGGGATCCAATGAAGGATCTGAGTGGTTCGAACCCCTGTCACAGCACGAAAGCTCAGCGAGCTGCTCAATCTTTGCACGTGGACCATCTCTCTTGACTTGGCCAGCTTGAAAACCTATCTCTCTCAACCTGGCCAACCTAAAGGTCATCATACCCAGAACGAGCCAATACGACAGTCTCACCCAGCACAACTTGATGCCAAAAGTCATGTACCTTGCCACCCACTTTCAGGATTCCGTCACAAATGAATGATAGGCTGCAAATAAACTTGAGGACCGACAGTCTCGAATAAGGCATCCCCCAGTTTCAATCGGGCCACACTGATCCCCTCCAGTTATCCTCTGGGGGAGAAAGAAGACTATCAACCATGCTTGAGAGTGCTAGAAGAGCAAGTGGAATGGCACGAACAAGTTTGAGCTGGCAAAGGAATCTCTCTCTTGAATAAACTTCCCAACTGAGAGTTCCCATGAAAGCAATCCTATTAGAAGAAATCCTCATCTCAATCTGGAACTGGCCACAAGTAAAATAGGAGGACAAAGGGTCGGAGTTGACCTGCATTAGTTAGAGCAGGCATGATAAGGAAACTTGTGGTTAAAGGGAAAAAAAAAAAAAAATTTAAGAACTCTCATGAATGTTTTTAAGACTGCAGCACTGTACTCAGTTATGGATGCCAGGCCATGTTATATGAGCGATCCAAGGCCAGCAGCTAAGGCAAGGAAAAGTATTACGGTTCCTCTCATGATCATAGCTGAAAACCAGAAAGTAATTGAACCTGATCATAAACGTGTCAGGTATTTGGTTGACCTTCAGACACATGAGCCAGAGGAATGACGAGAATGTTAGAGCACCCAATTAATCTGTGCACAAAAATCAAGGTCTCTGATGGCACTCACCAGAGACAGTGGGATGCCTTTGTTGATAAAAAAGAAATAGTCTCCCTCAATCATATGCAGAAAGGAGAACCTTCGATGCAGCAGGTCAGTCAAAGGAGCTCTCCTCAGCATCTGAGAAACTAAGAGCCTCAATGTCAATACCATAACAAACTGATTGACCATGTAATTGAATCTGAGTCATCCAAGTCAAACCAAGAAGCTCCAAGCACTCAGCTACTGAGACCGATGAAGGCGTGCAAGAAATGCTGATGAATTAAATTCCAGTTTTGATCTAATCCAGTGGCATAAACCCAACCTCATGAGTAGCAAGATGGATTAAGGCAAAGTATTGGTCAGCCATAGCAGCCATGAGTTGCGACCTTGAGTGGAAAGAAGGCATGGCTCAATGTCGGAAAAAATCAAAGAAGACAGCATAATCCTCACGGTAGTTCTTGTAAGCTGTATGCCAGTTGCTGTTGCTCACCAAGTTTGTTCCACCTGCTAGCTGCAATAAAAATGTAAGCAAAGCAAATGAACAAGAAAACCAAACTTGCTGTTAAAGTTTTCTATATACAAATAGGACAAGGCAAGTGGAAATTAATTAAAGAGAAGATGAGGAATAACATTTTTGCTGCCACTGAAATTAACCAAACATCAAGCTTGGCCCCAGAAACGAGAAGAGGAAAAGGCCTCAGCAACTGCCTTCCTGTGCTCCTCCCGGGAATCTGTTTTTAAATTATAATCCTCTGTTACTTTATTATAGAAGTTCATAACCAAATAAAGAAATGTAATGAATCATTTAATACGATTACATTACATTCTTAATCAGTTACGCAATTTATTCTCCTGCACTCCATGATGTCATGCCAAAGATGCCCTTAGTGTATTATAAGCATAGTGGTGTAGGTGAGTATGGAGTAAGGTTGGTCTGTGGCAGGTCCAAATCGACATACCTAAAAGCTAGCTTGCAATATATGCTCTAGTTTCTATGAATGCAATAGTTCAACTTTTTTTTGTGCATACCATCTAAAATCCTCTATACTAATGGCTTTCTTGCATAAGGGAGCAGGATCTCCCTCCCTCTAATGTATTTGCTTGAAATTTAATGTTTCCAGGAAGAATGGAGAATTCAGATGTTGCCCATAGATTTCTTGTTCCTTACTGTCTGCCCAGTAGTTGAGATGAGATTGAGATGTAAATCAGGAGGGAGAGATTACCCACCAGGAGTTCCTAAAGAGATCACAAAAGTTCTCGCACTTGATGTTGTAAGTTTTAAAGATATTCAAGCGGTAATCAATGAGAATTTCTGATTTACATTTTGTCTATTCACTCATGTGACCTATTATACTGAAGGACTCTCTTGCAGATCAGGTGGAAGCTCCAAGGGCTTGATAATATTTTTCAACCATCTCAATTTTCTCTTGGTGTAAAAGGAGCATTATACCCTGATAGACGGGGGATACGAACACGGCTGAAAGGTCAACTAGAGATGAATATTAGCTTCATTCTTCCTCCCGTGCTTGCAATGGTTCCTGAAGATGTTCGCAAAACTGTTGCAGATTCGGTTAGGCCATAATAATCTCCTTAAACTGATAATATTCTTTAACAATTGTTTAAAAGAAAACTACAAGTACATATACTAACTGTGCATCCATGAATGTTTTGCATGTATTTTTTTATCTAATCATCGTGTTTAAAATTTATGTTCCAAGAACAGGTATTAAGGGGATTGGTGGAGAACATGAACCATAAAGTTAACAGTAGCTTGCTCGCTGATTATAGCAGGTTCAAGCAGGAGACACCTAAGAATCGAGTTTGATATATAGATTCAAACTTGTGGCTTTGAACTTATGGATCTATGTAAATGTGGCACCTTACGAGGCTCATTCATCAAAGTTCAAAGCAAATTGAAAAAAAAAAAGTAATAAATGGAGGACATCTGACTTGGAGTTGTAGAACTTTTTTTTTTTTTTTTTTTTGAAAAAAAAAAAAATCCAGGTAGCACATGCTGCTTCGACTTTTGACAATGTTGGAGTTGAAACCAGGCTTGACTGCTAGAGATCACAGACATAATTTGGGAAACAATTGTTGTTTGATATGATAGTTTCATTTTTAGTGAATGATGTTGTAATTCTGAATAAAAATATCTATTTGAATATGAGCATGGAAGGTACTGATTCTGTGTTTCAAAATAATCTTTGAAATATGATTAGATGAGGGCTTTTTTTCGTCATTGTGTAGAACTGGATGTGCTGCTGCTGCTGCTGCCTAGAAAATGAAAAATAATAAAAGAGAGTGCTTCCATTGGAAAACGTGTGCAAAAAAACTGGAGATGCGAGGGATCGAACCCCGTGCCTCTCGCATGCAAAGCGAGCGCTCTACCATTTGAGCTACATCCCCAGCTGTTCAATGAAAACCAGAATATTTTAAAACAATAAAAGGATTTTTGAGCCCCAGCATAAATCACTTGTTCACTTCTCATTTGCAAACACTGATTTCCATTCATTTTCGCTCATGAGTTTCGAATGTTGAGCGAAAAGGGAATTTAGTGAACTAATGGAATGTTAGGCATAAGCTTCTCAATTGTGATAGTCATTAACAATTTACATGAACATAGTGGGGGAAAAGAAGAGGAGGAAAGGTTTCACATCATTTTATGTTTTGAGAGCACAAGGCTATGTATATTATATGGAATAAGATCCTTGTGCGAATGGCATTGCCTCTAAAAGATGATATCTGAAACGACCTTAATCCAAAAGGTGGGTGTAGAGTAGGAGGGGCAAAGTAAATCTAGCGAATGCAAATCAAAATATGCTTAAAAAGTGGAACCAGAAGTGCAGCTTATAACATCAAAATTACAGTGCATCCAAGCAATATTTAATTGTTTTTCACAAAAATGAGTTCCTGAAAATGCTTCATTCAAGGGAGAGATATGAAGATCCAAGAAATCTTATTTGAGTACCATATGGTATAATGAACAAAATTCCACAAGTACAACATGGTGCTTGAACTTGTCGATCAGGCATGTTCTCGTTGAATGGGCAAGTTTATTACTGACCAATTGCTCCTGCAAATAGTCATCATGGTGGGCTTGGCGAATGACAATGTTCTCACTATATGCGAGTTTTTGATTTACACCAACCAGATTTCTGATGGGTCTCAGTGTATGAAAGTAAGGATTGGATCCTGAAAAAATAGAAAGCGCATCAGGCACGGCACTGCAACTATTTTCTCAAATATCTGAGATGCCAAGCTCTTTAAATCAACCAAAGTGGTAGTAGTACAAAATGCTTGCCCAACAATTCCACCAAGAACACCACCGATGGGATTCTCATCACAGCCAATGGTGAATATCGGACTCCTGTCACCCACTGAGCAAAGAATGCAAGGGAAAATGCCTTGGACGAATCTAGGTGAGCAGAATGGTGGAAGAAATGCTGCCTCTGCCTTTCCAACTCATCATCAGCCTTGCTACTAACTTTGGTTGCACCTGAGTTAAATTTCCAATAAGCAGGCAATTTTGTTTCAACTTCAACCTCCCCTTCATTTGTCATTAAATCCATCCCACGATGACCAAATCCGGATTCAAAAAACAATGATGTTGCTACATGATGAGTCCTTGCATGAGAGAGCAGATTTGGATTAAGGGAGAAGTAAAGAGTTCAAATCAAGCAGGATTTCATTATGCGTCTTGTCAATTAATTTTCTTCAAATATCTGCACTGCAGTTATGTTCACCAATAATCAGAACAAGAACATGAACCATGCTTGAAACAATGAAAACGATTGCGATCTCTAATTATAATCTCTCGGTTGTATATCTTAGAAGCAATTTTAATAGCAGAATGACAATCTTGGCATATGCGTAGATTCTTGAATATATAAAGAGGTGCACCAGGTTTTGTACTTATGAGCCCAAAACAAAATGCCAGCTTTTCACTGTGCAAGAACAATGCTTGCTCTTTCTCCTCCATCTCCTTGGTGCTATCCTCCCTGCCATCAGAACCTGAAAAAACTTGGGTAGTGGTATTGGGCACATAACCAGCTAATCTTAACCTTCGAATCATATCATCCAATGCATGATAAATTTCCTTTGTCAGTGGGTGTGACTTACCCCCTGAACTGAACTGATGAACTTGGCCACCGACATGAATAGAACTCATTCCTGGGACCTTTCTAATACCCTTACTCTTAAGGACCTGTCTGAGTGAATTAGCCTTGTCTTGCTTTCCTTCTAAAGAATACATGTTCGAAAGCAATACATGATACTCTGTATTATGTTGGTCCATCTGAACCAGCTCTTGCAGAATTCGCTCACCAAGCTGTAACTTTCCATGGGCATTGCAAGAACCCAAAAGGGATCCTAGAACAACCTCATTTGGACGCATTGGCATCTTCTTTATCAACAACTCAGCTTCTTCTAAACAGCCGGCCCGACCCAGAAGATCCACCATACAAGCATAGTGTTCAACCTTAGGTGTTATTCCATACTCTGATTCAAGGCTGTGAAAATAGTGGTAGCCTTGATCAACTAAACCTGAGTGGCTGCAAGCACTTAAGACAGCCATAAAAGTTAAATCATCTGGCGTAGCTTCTTCAATCATTTTCGGGAATATATCCAATACAAATTCACCCCTTCCATGCATCGCTAGGCCACCAAGTATCGCATTCCAAGCCACCACGTTCCTTCTTGGTAGGTAATTGAAGGCTGCCAATGCCATATCTATCTGTCCACATTTTGCATACATGTCCACCAAAGCTGTAGCCACCATGACATGCATCTCCCTTCCCATTTCCTTCATAGCATAAACGTGAACCCATCTCCCCATCATGACATCCCCAGATAGTGCACAAGCTGATAAAATCGAAGAAAGCGTAACAAAATTCAACCCTAACCTCAACCTCAAAACCATTTCAACCAATAGTAGAAACCCTTCCCTAGAAAACCCATTTCCCACATAACCCGCAATCATTATAGACCAACCAACCTCATTCCTCTCCGGCATCTCATCAAACACCACTCTCCCATTCTCCAACCCTTCCCATTTAACCACTCCCTCCAACAATATACTCCACGAAACAACATTCCGCTCATTCATTTCACTAAAAACTCTTCTCACCTCCCCGACTAACCCACATTTTACATACATATTCATTACCGCGTTACACACCTTAACCCCTCCCAAACCCATCTTCACAAGACACCCCTGTGCTTGCCTCCCCATCCGCAAATCCTCCACCCGTGCGCACAAAACAAACACAGAAATCATCACAACATCGTCAAGAACAACACTCTCTTTCCTCATTTCTTTGAAGAAACAAAAACCTTCAGAAGGTTTGGTCCCGTGTTGCACAAGGCAGGTTAGCAGGGTTGTCCAATCTATAACGTCTTTATGTGAGCGGGGAATTTGGTAGAACAGGTGGCGTGCGGAGGATGTAACGCCGCAGGAGGCATACATGTGGTGGAGGGCGTTGAGGAGGAAACTGTTAGGGCATGCCGGGACAAGGCCAGAGGTTAATATTATGGCATGGAGCTCTTTTCCAGTGGAAAGCGAGGAGTTGCAGGCACATGAGCGGAGGAGAGAGCGGAAGTGGGCAGGTAGGAATTGGAGCGTGGTCAAGTTGGTGGTGGGACATTTCATAACAGGAAAATGAATTGGGTTTCGGAGAAGTAGATAAGAGTTTCTTTTTCTGAGGATTTTCTAAGCTACCAAACAGGGGGTTCCACTTCTACCTTAAATACAGTGTTATCGATTCCATTTTGCCGCCTTGTTTTTTTCTTCCCCCTTCGAAACCGGTTGCCCGACGTTAATGAAATGCCTCGCTTTCCTTCAATCTTTTGGCACTCAATTTCATTTGGGGTCACAGTGGGCTGGGCCCAAAATTTAGTTCCTTTTGATTTTACGTTCTATCCATGACGATTTCATTCTTGTACACCTGTTTATGACGTCCAAAAAATTTCCATTAGATTCAAATCAAGCGGTCCTATCGTCATCAGTATTTGCCCTCGTTGGCACCCTCTATCCACACATCTGTACCATTTGGATCCGTCTCCGTGGTGCTGACCTGATAAGGTCCCGTAACTTCATTTTTCTTGATAAAATTAAGGTCCCAGACAGAACATCGAATGTCGCTTGTCATGAACGCGGAGGGCTCCTTTGGCAAATGATTTAGGGCCATCTAGGGAACTGGCTTCGAGTCATGTAACATATAATTCTTACTTAGCAATAAGGCAATGACTCAGCAATAGCTACCGTTTTGGGCTATCCAACAGACTAGGCTCACTTTCAACTACATTCTCAAATCACCGTCTGCTTTGGGATACTACTTTCACTTATTCTTCACCCCGAGAGCAAACTTTCCTGTCCCAAGTCAGCTATATAGATTCCAGAATTAATATCTTGTCCAAAAAGAAGGACATCATGGGAAAAAGAAATCATGAGAGCAACAAGTTCATCAAAATTCACTCCACATAGTTGAAATGGATAACAAGTATCAAGTAAATACTTCACTCATATCAGCAATTGATGGCAAACTCACACATAATCGAAGTCGAAAGGTTAAAATTCCAAGTCATGTCTTGGTAAACACACAGGACGGGAACAAGGGATATCTTGGCTATCTGAGTTTGAAGTACAAGATCAAGATGATGACAATAACAAGGACAGCAATAATGGCACCAATAATCCACTTGTTCTTGTTCATCCTCCTTGACATGGCAGTCAATACTCTCTTACTCTTACCGATGTTGTCATCCACTCCATGAAGCTGAAAATATAGGAAGAACCATAAAATTAAGTACAGGAAATTTGATATTAGTAGTTGCAAACCCAAACTGAGTGAAATATAGTCAAGGTCCACCAAGCATAACTCTGTTCAGTAAATCACAGATTAAAACTAAAAAGAATCAAAAGGAAACCGTGGTATGCTACCAAGGACTGCCTTGCAAATGCATCGAGGTCAATGAAAATATAATATCACATACCAAATTCAAAAAATCAATACTGAAACTAGAATGAAAGTAAACAATGATAGGTGATGGAGTTTTGATGTAAGAAAAATAATCCAGAAATTCAATGAAGCATTACCGTGTTATGGGCATGCAAGAGAGACTGTCTCTGTTGATGCAAATCTTGAAGAATTGAAACACCAAGTTCTTCTGTTTCAAGCATAGTTTTTCTACTATCCTTAATTCTTTCACCGGAATGATTTAGTCTTTCTGTCGTCATCATCAATCTTGATCTTTGATCTGCTGAGGCCTATTCCAGTTGCACAAGCCACAATTGTCAAACATATTCAACACATTCAAAGAAGAAAAATGAGACTCAGAACTGTACTGCAGATTTTAAGAGAAGTAGCCACAAAGCTATACAAAATTTTAGTTCATAGGTTATTCATTCATCAAAACAGATACCTAAATTGCCATTTCTAACAAGCAACAGTGAGATCGCCTTTGAGTTTTGACACCGCACCAAAATGTAGATTATTGTGGTGTCTACTAGTGGAATGCAGCACAGACCACAGTCCATAATATTTCATACTAATACTCAGGACAACATAATTAAAAATCCTACTCCTGCATAGATCTAACAAAACCAAACAGGGAAATCAAAGTGCAAACCAATGTGTGGAATAGCCTTTCTAAATTTCATCCAAGTAGCAAACAACTATATACAAACATAAGAAAGATGAATGCAGCTGCCACATTAGTGCAACCAAAACAAATTACAAGTTAAGTCAAACTGCTAAACAGTCATTTTCTTGGGATCTCTCAACCACATAATCACTATTACCAATTTTTTTCTACAAAACGGAAAAGAGAGAGAGAGTGTGTGTGTGTGTGTTAATCTGTACGGAAAACCAACAGAAAACAACTATTCCTGATTTCAGTGAAGAGCATAATAACATATAGACTGACCCAGATAGTGACATACCGTCAAGGCATCAGCCATTCCAGCTTCCAAGAGCTCATCACGGGCAGCTGAATTGAGATTACCAGAACCAATTCTTTTAACCTCAGTTTTCAGATTGTTTAAATCTGACTTATACTCCCTCAACTTAGCCAAAAGAACAGCCTTCACATTCGGCCGCAAATTTCTCGCTTCCAGATCCATTTTCCGAGTCTAATAATAATAATAATAAATAAATAAATAAAAGAATAATCATAAATTCCTTGGGGGGGGGGGGGGGGGATAATATGCAAGAGAATTAGGAAAATTTCAGGTACCAAAGATTCAGCATCCTCTAATCCAGTTCTTAATTCAGAAATCTTTTGTTTCTTTTGCTCTGTAGAAAATTCCACAAATCAAAATTTGTATAAAAGAAATCCATAATAATTAATAAAAGAAAACGAAAATAAACATTTGAGAGCAGCGACGCGTACCTCCTTGAAGAGCAAGAGCAGCAGTGCATTTTCTGGATAAATTAGCAGAGAGCTCGCAGTATTGACGCTCGTATCCTTCAAATATTTCGCTCATCTTTCCTTTCTTCTTCCAATTTTTAACCTCTCTATCAAAACCCAAACAAAATGGACTAAAGTTAAATAACATCCTCAATTCGATCAATTAATCACCCAATCACGATCGGAAATTCGATTACCTGATATGATCGGATGAGAAAGTTGCCGGATTCGGCTAACCGTATCTTCTCGAACCAGATGCAGCGGTGGTGGTGGTGGTTTTTTCAAACGACAATGCTCGTTTGCGTGGGACACGAAATGGTTTAATGGGAGAAGAGGTTAATCATAAAGTCACGTGTCAGTTTAATTAGGTTATGTTTGCTGTGTTTTCTTTATTGCATGTATCATGTGTGTGCTACTTGGGGAGGTTAGTGTCCTCTCTTCTGTAAAAGCGGGGAATCTCCGGTAATGTTATTTGACTAAGAAATTAAATTTGTGGGGTTATTTTTAAATTTATTTTTAGGAGCTTGCTTTTTTTTTTTTAATCGAGCTGACTCTAGTTATTTGCTTTTTAAGAAAATTATTTTGTTACCTATAAAAAAAGGATGTAAGTATAGTTGAATTTCTAAATTATAAATTAAATATTAGTTTGGAATTAAAAAATGGAACTTAATATATTTTTATCTAGTTAGGAACGAAACTAATTAATGTATTATTTGAAGAAAAACAAAAGAAGGCTAATTTCGTTTGACTAAAACAATCCATATTCCAACCATGATTAAAAAAAAAAAAAAAATTCCTCCATTCCTCGCAGTGATTCAAGAATTTTGAATTTCGACATTTTCAAATAAAAGAATATCAACATTAAATTGTAAAGTAAAAATCAGCAAGTTAGTTATCCTTTCATGTTCTTGTTTTTATTTTTTTCCTTAGAAAATCAAAAAAATATTTCTAAAAACTGATATATTTTTAAACATATGAAGAAAAAATCTGTTTAATCCAATTTCAAAAATATATTATTACTCAAAATATAAAAACTAATAATATTACATATTTAATTATGATGATGACATATTATTAGTGATGATATTGGTAGCAGTAGTAACATTATAGTGATTAATATGATGTTAATTATAATGATAATAGTTATTGTAATATCAAATTTATAGTAGTTATTATTTTATTGGTAAATAAATATAATTAGTTTATTGGTTAATTATTATCATTTATATATAAAAAAATATTTTTTGTTATTTTTTTAAAAAATTATTTTAGTTTTTAAAATTATTCATAGAAAAAAAAACATGGTAGTTCAACCAAACATGTTTTCAATTTTTCTTTCTAAAAAAAAATAATAATAACTAAAGTGATACCAAACAACATCAAAATTATTGTCATTTAGTTTCTCGTTTGAAATTTCTTATCATTTTTTAAATTGGTCGATCAAATTCTCATCTAATATTAATTTTTAGTTATTATATATATAGATGAGGATCTATTTAGGAAGTAAAAAGCCCTTTTGACATCTCTTCATATGCAAAGAATTTTTTATGTGAAAACACGGAGATAAAGTGCTTGATTTTTAAATAGGAAAAAGAGTGAATCTTGGTCTCAAATGAATTGATTTATTCAAAAAATATCTTATTCTTTAAAAGATATATCTCATATCATATACTACATGGTTCCACTCTAAGTGGAACTCGAATCATTCTCTTGAAACTCATTTTCTTCATCATAAATGATCTACTTGTCTCAAAATGACTCGACCTAATAGAGAAATCACAGTTCATTTGACTCTTTAATACAATCAAATAAAAAGCTCCAAGGGCTTCACATTTCATAAGTCCAAACTATGTGATTGAATAAATCCTCCTCTATATGTTACAAGTTGAGGATTCCTTCTACTTAATATGTAATGCCCTTGATCTAAAAGGAGGCCAAGAATGTTACGATAGCCTTGCACTCATAGTACAATGAATGTAAAACAAAACATCATATCCTCTACCTCGGGTAATGTACAATAAAAGAAATAAAACCAATTCAATCTCACACAAATATGAAACCATTTTATTAACCTCACATTATATTTGTACATCAACTTACCAAATGTAACATGTGCTTACAATTTACCCTTTAAACTCTAAACCTACACATATAATACACATTTGGAAAACTCGAATTGCTTTCAACAACATCCTCGGCATCGGACCATGTCTTCATTCATTATTAGCTTGCCTACACACCATAAGAAAAACTATGAACTAATGCTCGGTAAATATAATCATGCATGTATATAAAGAAATACATTTTGATGACATTAATGAAGGATCACGTATCCTATGAAGTTGCGGAATAAATAAAAATTTATGTTTTATTTCATCTAAAGTTTTCAAGATCAATCATTGAATAAACTAATTATATTAACAACAAGATGATTAGGAGTTACCCCTTGTAGCGTAGAATTCAAATTTTATAGAAAGAACCATCCAAGCATCCAATCTCTATTGATGATCTATGCGACTTAAACATCCATACAAGAAGCAATAAAAATCATAAAGTGCTAGCTCTAACCTTTTCTGCTATGTATAATTTTCACTTAAAATCACTAAAAGGTTGCGCAATTGTTATAGAGAGAGTTACAACAACTTTTTCCTTTTTAGTTGTGAAAACTTTTGCCTTTTTTCTTTATTGGGAGAGATACACTTTTAGCTCTTATAAATTATATGTGTGGCATCTCTCTTTTCCTCTCTCTTAATAGGCAGCAACCTTGTCCTTCTAGGACAAGGAGTTGTAACTTATATGAGCTTGTTTAACCTTATCCTTGTAAACTCTAAGCCATATCCTTTATTGCTCAAGATTATCTATCTATAAAAAATATCTTGTAGGCTTTTACTTAAGCCTATTGACCCAAATTTCTTTGGCTCAATTATTCACCAATTAATTTAAACCATCTAAATAAATTGAATCATATATTTTTAAAGAGGTCCACATTAAAAACAATTTCCTAAGTTACTCTTAAACCTAAATTAGGAAACTAATTTTCATTTTAGGTAACTGAATTTCAAAATTGAAAACTGATTTCCAAATTAGAAAACTAATTTCTAAAATAGGAAATTGATTTCCAAAATAGGAAAAAAATTTTCAAAATAGAAAAATTTTCTAAAATAAGAAACTTTTTCAAAACAGAAAACTCTTTTCAAAACCTTTGCTTTTATTTTATTGTGTAAATGTTTAACTTATATGTATAACTCAATAGGCTCTTAGATATGTTGGTAATATATCAAGAAGTTAAAAACATCTCTCAATACATAAATTAAGATTGGTTTCTAGCAAGACATTATGACTATCCAATTCTCTAGAAGCTTACTAAATCCGTAATTATTTTTCACGAGTATGGTTTTCATATAATTTAGTCATCATGTCAATTTATCATAGTGTGATCTTGAACTTGGTTTATTATCTCGTTTGATTATGATCACATAATTTTGTTCGATCTAATTCAATCTTCAAATGTCTTGGCTCTCAAGTAAACCAATCATGTTCTATTGGTATGCCTCCACTGTGGCCATAGATTCTTAAACGGATATTTATTGACATGCAATATGATAATTCCTTTAGCAAATAAGAAATGATATGTCATATCTCAATCATCCACCTATCTCTATTAGATTCTTAATACACCTAACGAATTATCTACATGTAGCTCTTTACTAAGCCCATCTAAATGAATGTCAAAATACATCAATCCTCTAATGAGATAACCATGATAACTTCAAATCAAAGGACTACTTGTCCCATCTCGTATGAGATTCCTATAAACTAAACCAAATGAGTTCTCATGGTGAGCCATATCCAATGATATGTTCTCTAACATTATTCACTCGTGAGCTTGCTTTAGCATCACTATTCTAGTAGGTGCGAGATCTCCTTCGTTATCTTATATCAAGAGCATATCACCGATAAATCTCATCGTATATTATCAAATGTTCAATCTTGACAATGCTATGACTTGAAACATTTAATGATACCATTTAAATATATTGATGTTTGTCTCACATCTATTGATTAGTCATTAATGCAATGCATATCATATAAACTTCTATCTAATTCTAGAAAATTATAAATAACAAGAATTAATAGAAAAACCTCTTTATTAATATTAAAATATAATGTTACAATATATCAAATAATCTAAATAGGTTAGATCTTGGACACCTACACTATTAATCTCCTCCTTGCACTAGAGCCAACCAACTATCTCCCTTATGTTCGATAATCAAATAAGAGTTTCATGTTTCTATTGTGATAAAAGCTTAGTCAAGGGATCCGTTATGTTATCGTCAATGTGGACCTTTTCTCGTCCTTACATCACCACAACTAATAATCTCTCTAATTAGGTGATAACATTGTAGTACATGCTTGGACCATTGATGAGATCTTGGTTCCTTAACTTGTACTATGGCTTCGACCATTAAGCCATATGACATTGGAAAAAGTTCTTTAGTATTTTATCAATGTATGTACTTTGAGAGAGCCCTAATATTCTACATGATTTATCTATATAGATCTCAATTTCTAGAATGTAGGCTACCCTCCCATGTCTTTCATAGAAAAATTCTTAAATACCCAATATTTTATAGATTGTAATATGGTAATGTTATTATCAAGAAGTAGTATGTTGTCTACATATAAAACAACAAAGATTATTGAGCTCCCACTAACCTTTTGTATACACAAGGTTCATCTTTGTTTTGTGATAAATCAAACCTTTTGATCATTTCATCAAAATATTGATTCTAACCCCTATATACTTGCTTAAGTTCATAAATAGATCTTTTACAACTCGTAAATTTTATCTCGCATATCTTTTGATGATGAAATCATTAGGTTGTGTCATGTACATATTCTCATTCAAATTTCGATTAATGAAAGTATTTTTGACATTCGTTTGCTATATCTTGGAGTCAATGTCTAACATTGCTATTTTATAAGTATTATGTTCATCATCCTCTATAGGAAATACATCATTATGAGTAAAGACAAGAAGATCATATATTTCTAGCTATTAATGAATCCGTT